GCGTAAAACCATGGATGGTGGGGGACAACGTTTGCTGTCCGGTATGTAACTCTCAAGAAAAAGAGGATATCATTCACTTTTTGGGGACTTGCCACATGTTCAGTGAGTTAAGAGAGAAAGGTTTTGGGCAGCGGACCTGTTCTCCAGAAGAATTATTTGGTTTCTTAAAGGGTTCTAACTGGAAAGCCTTAAGCAATTATGTACAGCAGGCCACATTGCAAAGATTCCAATTAGTCAGATAGTAAACTATTGATACAATATCGTGTTTATTTATTGTAACGTATGTTTTATTGTTATATTGTATTTGATGATTATTATTATTGTTGAATTTAAATTTCTTATTTATTGGATTTGTGATGTATTAATTTTTTTTTTTTAAATCTCTATTTAAACAGATGGGACAGTGAAAAAGAAATTTGCTAGAATGGATGTATAAAACCATAATAATACTGTGGATATATTATTGCTGATTTATTTTAGTTATAAATGTGATGAAAATTTATTATTAATTACACACAAACCTCGACGTGTTATTGCTTGAATATATATATATATATATATATATATATATATATATATATATATATTACTTGGTGTAATTTTTTAAAGTTTAATAAACACGTTTTCATTCATTCAATAAAAATAAATGCCTCACAGGCGTTGATGACTCTAATGTTTAACGACAGTACAAATGAACGAATAACAATTATTAATTCCTCCATCTTCTGGTACGTTACATTATTTTCTTTTATTATTTTGTCATTTGTACACTGACCAATGCACCATGCGAATAATTCGCACGGAACAACAGATCAGTATATCTTTTTCTCGACTCATTCAGAGTGATATTCATGAACGGTGTACCAACTTGGCTCTTTTCTTGTACTAGATGACTCCATCAACCTCTGCCCTTCGAAGGGTCACTCCAGACTGGAGAAGAGAATGTCCTTCCAGCGGGAACCTCGGACGGGGAGTTCCTTGAACCTCCCCTGCGCTAACGGTTCCGCATCTTTTCTCATTATCTCCTTCCATCGATATCTCTCACTCTCTTTAATCTGATTTATAAGCTCTTGAGCATCGCCTTATCTTCTATCTGCCTTCCACTTCGGAAACAGGAGGAGAGGCGAAAAAACTGGTCTAGCTCCGGTTTCACCTTACATTAATGAATCGGCCGAGACTCTGGATCTTTTTTTTAATATCTTTTGGAGTTTTTTGAGCTCAGAAGAATTTTGATTGCAATCACTGTTAGTAAACGAGATTGCCATAAATGTAAACGAATTCTAAGATTTTTCAATGGATGATGACGGACATCAGTCAGGTATTCGTCAAACTCTTATTTTTTTTATTTAACTTATTTATTGAAAAATATTACAATCTGTCTCAAGGACATTTATAATAGTGTTCAGAGATCACATTCACACTCTATGTACAATAAATAAGATAAATTATACAGACAAATAATATATATACAATAAATAAGAATAAAATAACCTAAAAATAAATAAATAAAAAGAACACATACATACCTATATACAATATCAGTTGTATGCTCTTGTTGATTAGTTGTTCTTCAGCAAATACTATGTATAGGGAAATTAATTGTCAGATACTTGGATTAGATTTTATGTAAGGATGAATGAATTAGTAAAACGTTTATTAAAATCTTACCTGACCTGGCTAACAAAAATATAACTGTCCACCACAAGTGGATCCAGGATTTAACTTTGAGGGGACTTCAGCTCGAAACTTTTTTTTTTTCATAAAAAAAAAATAACAATAATTATTATGGAAAAAAAGAACGAAACTAACGACCTATATGAAATGGTGTTTCCTAGTGATTCCTAAAGTACTTTTAAATGTATTAAAAGTAGCAATCATACTTAGGAGACAATTTTTTAATATTTTTTCCCATAAAACATGGTTATATTTTACCATTTTTTTGGGGGAGGGGAGGGGACTTCAACCCCAAAGCCCCTCCCTCATCGTAGATCCCGCCCGTGCGGTCCACTACGATGACACGAAATGTTACAGCGTGCTGCGTTTTGAGTGAACATGCATTAAAAAAACTTAAGAAGCATTAAGAAAATAAATAAAGCTTTGATCTTATATTAGATGAATGTGCTTTTAAACAAAGAAATTTTTGTTAAGGAAATGAATAAAAATCTTATGTCATATTAAGTTAACATGTTTTCAAAAATTGTAATAACTTCTAAATAAGCGAATAAAACTCGGATCTTATATTATGTGGACACGTTTTTAAAAGAAATATTATAAGTATTAAGAAAATTCGATCTTATTATATGTTAAAGTGTTTTTAAAACATTTAAGAAGTATTAAGAAAATGGATAGAACTTTGATCATATGCTATGATTCAATATAATTAACTCATAAAGCGTTGTGTATGTTGACCGTAGATGTAATATAAGGAAAAGTTTAGTCGGTACGGTTAATCAAGTCGAAAAACATTAATAAGTGGGAATTAATGTATTTGTGATGTGCCTACGTTTCGAGCCACTTTCCAAATCTTCCATCAGGGCTGTCGAAGAGAGAGAGAGATTCGTCTTCCCTCATAGGCGGCCAGGTTTCGCGTCCCTAAATCTTAGGAAAACCGAAAGTAATTCTTCCGTTCCCAGATGTGAAGAGATATCTTGGGAAATCTACGGCTAAGTACTCACGAAAAATCCTTAGGCAGTTCACAAGCTATACTTTAGTGTCTTTGTTCTAAGATCTCCTGTAGGAAGTAGCTGATAGCAAAAATTATGGTGTTTTGATTTGAGATATTCATCTCGCACCTGGATTATCTCATGCAATAAACATTTTAAAAATAAAATATATGTTGAAAAATCGGCAGAAAATGTATTTTTATATTAATCCATTAATCCTTTGGATACTAATTTCTAAACAGTTAAAATTCAAATATACATGTTGTAAGTGTTAAGTGTAAATATACATTCAAATAAGTGTTATGATTGTTATTGAGCATGATTGAATCGAGCTGAAATTGAAACGTTGGGTTTTTATTTTAATAATAACATAAATAGATTTATTATATAACAAGATGTTTATTTTCTTTATACATTAGTTTTTTTTTTCTTTTCTTTATTTTTATTCTAATCACATTTTTATTTTATTCCAATCAGAAGCGACGGCACCTGTTGGAAAAGGAATTTTCCATCTTCTCGCGATATTTCCCTAGCAGAAGATATATGTTTATTTTTATGCTACATCATTAAATTAACTGTAACTTTATTATAGAGATGGGTAATTGCTCATACCAATTATTCGTCTGATCAATTTTGAATGTGAAAAGGAATTTCCGTCACTTCTTACAAAGCATTGTGAGTAGGTATAATTTGTTTTTCTTGACTTCTGCTTTTCCTATTCATAAGATTGTATTTCTTTTAAACGTATTTTATTTTTTACTTATCTTTGACACACTCCTCTCTATTTGTATATATTTTTTTTTCCTCCTCTTAATCTATCGCTTTATAGGTAGATCACAATATCTTTGTGGGTATTAACTTATACTTCTTAAGGAACAGATATGATCATTTATTTAATCTATTTATTTTTTTATATTTTATCACTACTATGGTTCGCCTATAACATTTATTTAGCGCTCCTTTCCTTTTTTTCATTTAGTTATTTATATTTCATTGTCTTAGCACCAACATTATAGTATTGTAACTCTATTACCCATCTGCTTTCGTATAGCAGATGTATTCTAAGAGCTATGCCTATACTTATTTTATTACTTATATTTAGTGTTGCCCAAAATCGGTCGTGGTCTTGCACTTTGCAAGACCAAGACCAAGGCCGCCTAACTGTTGCAAGACCAAGACCAGAACTTGTAAAAAAAAATGGATTTTTTGAATACAAATTAAGGCAAAATAGTTACTAATACTTGCCAATCTTAGTTACTATACGTAAATAATTGGTATAACCAATATACTTTTGCATTTATCTCCTCTAATTTTTCATTCGGGCTTAGTTAGGTTTCTCCTATCTAAAAAATTATATTAATATCTCTATATTAATAAGCTGATAAGTAACTTCATGATTAATGCAAGACTTTTGCGCAAGACCAAGACTCGTCTCGATCTCGCATTTGGACAACACTACTTTAATTTTATTTATTCTTTATTGTAATAGGTCTTTTGGCCAGATTTACATATTGTTAATTTGTATGGACACTATTGTTATTCTTAAGGCCCATAGTGTCCAGAATAAATATCATTTTCTATGTCTATTTTTAAATATTAAATTAATATTTCAACTTTGAAAGCAATCCACATCCTAAAGGCATAGGTGATAGGTTTTCTTATGATTCTTACAAATAGCAATTTGAGCACCATCACCTCCAAAAAAAAAAAAAAAAAAATGTTTTCGTTGTTCCATATTTATATCTGTAAGTAATCTGAACCAAAAAATGAAAAAATCACAGTATGTTTTCACCATACGGTTTCTTTTATAACATAGATACTTCAAATATTAAACGAAAGCAGATGCTAAGAAAAATATGAAAAAAATATATCTAAAATTATTATTGATCTCGTAATTATTACCGTTATTCCTTTAACATAAAAAACAAATATTTTTTTGAATCCATCCATAATATCCATAATTAAACCTAAATCCATCACTGCTTCAGAATTATATATTTTTGTATATGAGATTTTTTTGTGTTTTTAATTTTTGTCAAGGAATTTCGGTGTTGAAATAAAAGGAAAAAATAATAATTCCTTAATTTCGTATTGATTCCACATTTTTTTTTCAAACTGATAGCAGGTGAAAATAAAACAAAGCCTTCCATTCTATTAATTAATAAAACTAAATACTAGCCATTTACTTTATTAGTACATATACTTCCATAATTATGAAAAATTACATGGTAATGGGATTCGAAAAAGTATAACGAGTTTCTGAGGGAAGAACGAGTTGTGAATAAAGGAATTGAGAAAGGGAAACCAAGGTGGTAATTGCTTATGGAAATGAGCCTTTTATCCTCCGGTGTGTATAGTTGCCACTATTGTCCCACACCCTTTCTTCTCTACGGCTGCTGTTATTGTCATGGGGAAGGACACTGCTCCAGCTTTCTTTTCTTTGTTTTTCACAAAGATCTCCATTGTTGCCACTGCTCTCTTTGCAAGCATGCGAATAACAATTGCTATTGCTGATATAATAGTTCCAAGTTTCTAAAAATAATATAATTACATAAAAATATGCATCATTCCTCATATAAAAAACTCCTAAGATTCTGTGATTGTATTCCTCTAAAAACCATACAGCTCCTAGTAACCTCCCTTATATTCCTCCACTTTGACTACGACTGCTTGGCGTATGGTGAGGCCTATCTACACCAGGCTAGAAATAAGATTGAAGAAACTCATTAACTGTTTCATAAGATACATCTTCAGAATCCCCAGGCGTTCGCATGTTTTACACGGTGGGCCAGACCCCCTTACCGTGCACCCTCCCTCCCTCTCCCCACATCCCTATAAATTGCATATCGTTGTGTTCCTTGTGACAATTTATTAAAAAAAAACCAATGTTCCCACAAAAAAAAAGTGAACGCACTGCCCCAAAATGGCGTCCAAAGATGGCGGATTGACGACTTTGACTTTAGTTAGTTTTTTGGTCACTGAGAATCAGCATTTGGCTTAATTTCCTCATAGTTGGTCTTTTATTAAAGCTGAATAGTTATAGAATAATAAAACATGAAGAAATATTAAAAAATACGAAATATTGGCTTAGGCTGCGAAAAACACCAGTAAAGTCATTTTTTTTTACAAAAAAATTTTCAAGTCACAAATAAAGCGTCGTTTGTAATAAAACAGCCTACAATAACGCAAAACCAGCTGAAATAAAACATCTGGAGAATATATTTCCCGTTCTAAAACACTGATTATTTTTTTAAAAAATTTAAGCAGTTCCGTGGAAAATGTACTTATGCGGCAGAAAAGCGGTACTGGCGTGGGTGCCTACAGGCCTCTACCACACCATTCAGTACACATAAATAGCTTAGTTATAGTGATATAATAACATTTTTGGTACATTATATTGGTTTTATTAACGAACAAATATTAATGCATAATTTTTTAAATATTTCTTCATGTTTTATTATTCTATGACTATTCAGCTTTAATAAAAGACCAACTATGAGGAAATTAAGCCAAATGCTGATTCTCAGTTACCAAAAAACTAACTAAAGTCAAAGTCGTCAATCCGCCATCTTTGGGGCAGTGCGTTCACTGTTTTCTTGGGAACATTGGCTTTTTTTTTAATAAATTGTCACAAGGAACCCAACGATATGCAATTTATAGGGATGTGGGGGGGAGGAGGGAGAGGGGAGGTGCACGGTAAGGGGGTCTGGCCCACAGACTATTTCATTCAGATATAACTAGTTTCCTATTAAAAGCCCTGAGAATCAAAAACTCTGTCTACGTTCTGGAACTCTTTACTATACGTTCCTCTATCCACTCTCTTAATAACAGGTCTCAACCTAAAGATTTATATATCCTCTCCTGTTTAAGCAACTTTTACTATTATGACAAAATAACTGGCATGAGTTTCAATAAGGCAACATTCTAAATTTTATGGTAACATTATAGTTTTTAAGCAGTGGACTGTATCTTAAGGGATTGGTAGGTTAATGATAGTTCCAAAAAATAGCTTAGCGTCTGTGTGTCAAACTAAATCTTTTTACCAATGGAGGGCCCTCCGCCGTCGGTCCTTGCTGGTCGAATTTTGGTCAGGTAGTGGCTTCTTGGCTTCGAGTCTCTCTCAAAGCTTAAGTCTTATCTTTTATCTTTTAGATCTGCCCCCACCACTCGCCATTTAAACGAAAACCCCTCTTTGTCACAACCACCTCCCATAAAACTACTTTCTTCAGCAAATCCTTCGTCATTCCTGCTATCACGTTTTGGTACTTTCTTCCTACCTCCATATGTCAATCCTCGTCCACAAATTCCTTCAAACAACTCCTATTCTACATTAGAACTTCCGCAAATATGTAAAATTGCTTGTGTCTGTATACTGTTTAATTCAATCAACTACCATAGCAATTACAATCAACAATTAGTTAGTTTGTATTTTGTATTCTTCTAAGCCAGACTTCTAAGACCTATACATGTTTAACTCTGACTGTAGTCTCAGAATAAAATTATTTTTTCATTTAATTTCGTTCATATCATCATTTTACCAAAGCCTGCCTCAAACCTTCGGCGCCCCGGGCATCATCTCAAGTCATTTCCGTTCCTTAAAAAAAAATTGAATTTATTTCATAAACTGTTATATGAGCTTATCTGTTGACGTTGTGACTAACTCCAATTTCAACATGTTTGATTATTAATTTTAGTGATATTTCTATTTGGAAAATTTTCACCTTTATTCACAGTTCTTTTGCTCGCTGAACACTATTAGAAATGTCCTTAATTGAGATAGATCGTAATATTTCTTAATAAGCAAGTTCTTTCTGCCTGATGAGGAGGTAGTAGACGGTGGTAGAAGTAATATGTAGGTAAAGTTAACATTAATAAATATGTTGAATGGGAAATATATGATATATAGATTTGGAAAGTTATGATGTTATACTTTCTAACCTTCTAAATTTATGATATAAGTTACTTACAAATTATTTTACTGTACTATTTTACCTACATTAATATGTATTTACTATATATTACAATTCTTTATTGAGAAATATAATCTGTCACATCTAAGGACATAGTAATAATGATAGAAGAGTAGCTCATTCACACTTGCACAATAAATAAATAGCAAAATAATAATACTAAAATTAAATATATATAAACTAAAAGAAACTAAACTAATCAAAATATAACTATTTAAATACACACATGCTTTTCGGGGTGGAGGTAACGCCAAATGGATCAATATTTTTATAGGCCACTTTTTTTCGGCTTGTATTATCTTTCGATTCAAGTGACAAGTAAATGGTTATTCATGAATTTTTAGTACCTAATTAAATAGACAAAGTTTGCCGATCTCCAGATTAAAAACGCGCCAATTTAGAAAATTTTCGTAAATACAATTTTTGTAGGTTACGATGAGTTAGTTACAAGGTTTCAGAAGGAAATTAATAATATGATAAAAAGGAGTCTGTACCAAGGACTACCTCTATACAGTGGCGGATCAAGGATTTATTTATTTATTTTTTACAATAGTTACTCTTGAAGACAAAGAAAGAAATTATATAAAATAATGAATTAGTGGACCTTAATGGCCAATAATAAAATATGTTTACAGGAAAATAATGCTTTTAAGGATAATTTTTTTGTGAGACCTATTTTGACATGACACCTATATTGTTGCCCAAATAAAAATACTACATATTTTGATTGTTTAATAATTTATATTAAATATAAGTTTAGCTTCTAAATTTATAATATAATTACTTACCAATTATTTTACTGTACTATTTTACCTGCATTAATATATATTACTATTCTATATTGAGAGATATTACAATCTGTCACATCTAAGGACATAGTAATTGTGGTAGAAGAGTTGCTCATTCACACTATATGCAATAAATAAAAATAAACAAACAGCAAAATAATAATACTATAATTAAATGTATATAAACTAAGCTAATCAAAATAACTATTTGAATACACATATGCTTGACTATTGTCCTTTGATGGGACTGATTGTATTATTTCTCATTAAAAAATTGAAAAAGAAAATATAGGCCAAACGCCCCAATATTTTTGTAGGCCACATTTTTTTTCGATTTTGTGATCAAATTATCTTACGATTCGAGTGAAAATCAAATGGGTATTCATGAGCTTCTATTTCCCAGATTTTATTTTATTTCTCAGTAAATTATATATATATATCAACTTAGTAAATTGACAAAGTTTTCCGATCTATGGTTTAAAAATTCTGAGAATTTTTGTAAACAAAATATTTGTAGTTTACAATGAGATGAAGCTATTTACGAAGTTTCGGGCGGATGTTAATAATTAGATAAAATGGGATCTATACTATGGACCAAGGCGTACCTTGTGCTATTACATTGTGCTGTATTAGTATCGAACCCCAACAATCAAAAACGGTTACGTATTTTCTTTTTTCTGGGAAGTTGTATGATATTCTTTGTAATTTGGTAATGATTACTTCCAATTAACAACAATTGAATTTATTTGTTGTATTGTCCAAATTGCATGTTTACAAGTTTACACTTCGTGATATTTACTCCCATCTTCAGAACCATAATTCCAATGATCTTGTGGATACATGTCTAAAAAATTTTTTGTCTTTAAAATATAGTGCATGTTACAACACATGTCAGAATTGGATTGTTACAACAAATTTGTAATTATCTTAAATCTAATATGCTCCATCGTCAATTTCTATTTCATGTTACAATAAATCTATTATAAGGTATATAACATCTAGAGCAACATCTGGCTTTTAGGCTAATTATTGGGTGTCTGCCATTGCGAATACAGTTGACCTTTGGATCTGACTTTATTTTTATACTATTGTTGTTCATGTTTATTTTTTATATATCTGCAATTTCATTTTTATTAAATTTTAATTTTGTTTAATATGTCCGCATAATGTGTTCCTAAATGTTCAGTGTCTGTTTTATAGTTTACTATTGTTCTTTGTTTTTTGTGATGTGTATGGCTTCAAGTAATTTCCTATTGGTGTTTTTTGTTTCTGTGCCTAATGTATGTGGTTTATTGAAGTTAAATTTATGCTGTGATGTGCTAAAGCTGTTGTGTTTATGTTTTTTGTATTTTTACAGTTAGTAATATGTTGTGAAATTTTGGTCCCTATTTGCTTGGATGTTTCACCAATGTAGATTTTGGGGCATTTAGAAACTGACGATGGAGCATATTAGATTTAAGGTAATTACAAATTTATTGTAACAACCCAATTCTGACATGGGTTGTATGTAACATGCACTATATTTTAACTCAAACAATTTTTTAGACATGTATCCACAAGATCATTGGAATTATGGTTCTGAAGATAGGAGTAAATATCCCGAAACGTAAACTTGTAAACATGCAATTTTGATAATAGAACAAATAAATTCAATTGTGGTTAATTGGAAGTAATCATTGCCAAATCACAAAGGTTATGTTTTTTTTTTAAATCTACAATAAAAATTATGTATGGATATTAATGAAAACACTCATTTTAAAATCGCCTGTATCCCATCCTAGACTCTAAACACATTATCCCAGATCACCAATTTGGATTCCGCACATTCCACTCCACTATTCAGCAATACCATCGTGTGGTAGATGTAGTCTCCTCTGCATTGGAGCGCGGAATGTACTGCACGGGAGTCTTTCTCGACGTTGAACAGGCGTTTGATAGAGTCTGGCATCCGGGAATGATGTACAAACTCCGTGAATTCCTACCATCTACATACTTCCTCATTATCCGTTCCTACCTTACTGACAGATACTTCAAAGTCAATCATAACAATGCTTATTCATCTCTTTTTACTCAGTCTGCCGGTGTTCCTCAAGGTAGTATCCTAGGTCCTATCCTTTACACAGTTTATACAGCTGACATCCCAACCCAATCCAACACTGTCATCACCACCTATGCCGACGACACGTGTATCCTATCAGTTAATAACGATCCTTTAATTGCATCCCAAACTCTTCAATCACATATCACAAGCCTTGAAGAATGGTGTAAAAATTGGAGAATAAAAATAAATTCCAACAAATCCCATCAAATCACCTTTACCCTCCGTCGTAAACCTATGACCTCTTGTCCTACAGTATCCTTCAATAATACTCCACTTATTCCTGTTGAGCAAATCCGCTACTTAGGACTCCACCTTGACAAACGACTCACTTGGAACCCCCATACCAGACTGAAACGACTAGAAACCGCCCGACGTTTTCGACTACTGCAGCACTTACTAGACAAACGATCTAAGCTTTCAATCAATTATAAACGACTCGTATATATGACAATAATAAGACCTATTTGGACTTACGGAATTGAGCTTTGGGGCTCGACTAAACCATCGAATTCCTCTCGTATCCAATCCTTACAATCCAAAATCCTTCGTAAAATCCTCAACGCTCCTTACTTTGTCACAAATAAAATCATCCATGAAGACCTTAATGTTCCATATGTTTCCGATCTGGCCCAATCCAGATACCTTTCCTTCCATAACAAACTGCAGAACCATCCGAATCCTCTCGTTTCAAACTTGCTTCCTCCTCGATCCCTGATAACCCTCCGAGGCGTCTGAAAAGAAGATGGACTCGGGATCTTCTAATATAGAACTTTAATTTGAGTTCTACCAATGGGTAGTTTCTCTTCATGTTGTACATGCCATGTTACAAATTTCTCATTTACTTATTGTATTCTCTATGTAATACAGTTGTAAATTCCATTAAAATAATTTAAAAAAAAAATGAAAACATTTCTAATTAATAAATCAAGCACACGTTACAGCCGTACTGATAGGGTAACTTTTACTCAGTGTTGCCTCTACATTAAAGATTCGTTTATCCGTCGACACAATTGATTGGTTGTGCGATTTGTATGTTACATATACCTTTTTCTTCTATTACCATTTAGGAAAATAGTGTGTTCAAACAACCCGCTTCAGCGTAAAAAATAAGTAACTTATTCCTCCTACTTCTTTTTACGTGCACTGTTGCACTTTCATGGATTGTTCCGATGTCGGCAGACGTGAATAAAAATATAATAATGAAATATAAAATTTTAAAATTGATCAAAGAGCCGCCGCTGAGTGAGGTGAATATCGGTGAAGAGCTTAGGATCCGGCTGTGCGGAGTGGGCAGTCCAGACAGGTTTTTGCAAGTCTCTGCACGTTGCAAGCCGCCTTTATAAATTGAGATGTTTAGGATAAGCTGGGTTGTTGTTTTTTTTTTTTTTTGGGTGATTTCCTTTTATTTTGTTAAGGAAAAGAATTCCTTTATTATTTGGCCTAAGTTTCAGACGCCTAGAATCTAGGTATATAAGATTAAATAAGCAGGTGCACATACATGATTACAGAAAGTATCTGCATTTTTATTTTATTCCGGCCATTGGAGCCGGCATGGTATTTTCCACCTTTTCCCGATATTTCACAGGTGTAAAATTCATATTTATTTTTATGTTAAATTAACTATACCTTTTTTAATTCAACATAAAAATAAATATGCATCTTATACCTTAACTATACCAATAAGGCCGGAGGCACATCAAAATTTTTGATTGGCTGAAGGTCTGTGCAAACCTACTGTTTACTCGCCAAAGGATGTGGTCTGGACTCTGCGGTCCAAACCAATTAATGTGTATATATTGTAAATAATTAATAATTAATTGAACGGTCCCTCTCCGTTCAATGAAAGTTAAATGCCACATGTGTTACCCTTATCTATCTCCAATCCTTAAAATGCCCTCGGTCAGTGGAAGGACTTTGTTATTTTTATATATTTGTATTGTTATACTTATATATGTAATTTAATTAAATAAACTTTTTTGGGGGTTAGAAAAAAACAAATCAACTATACCTATTGTTGGAACCATTGACTTATATACAAATCAAACTTCTTACAACATGAGTTTAATAGGAGAATAAATGCTGTTCCGGCAAACATCCAAACTAAAACTAAAATAAAAAGCGCTAAAATTGACCGATTTTGAAAAAAAAAAAAAAAAAGGCTGAACGTTCAGCTACCAAACTCAATCCTATACAACATAACAACAAAAAGGTTAAAATTGTATGGCCAGTTAAAAAGATTCAATGAGGAGCTATTGTTAAAATTAACCTTTCTGTATAAAGCAAGGTTAAAAAGAGGACAACCTAGGATGATATGGTTACAAGATGCTGAAGAAGGGAGACTGACTAGACCAAAAGAAGTGACTACCTTTTAGGGACAACAGAAAAATGTAATTAAATGTAACAAAAAAGTTTACATAAGCAATGTAATGTTTTGAAGAGATAGTCGGACTCTTATCACTTTAATCAATTTTAAATGTTGGCCATGAGCCCATTCCGAATTTTTTACCATAAAAATAATATAAACTAACGGAGTACCACACTGATAATAACGCAAAAGAAAAAAAGTGAGCTGCATAGCATGTTTTGAAAAATAATATGTTTCCTGAATTACGAGAGTGCTGATATTTGATCAAAAATTTTTCCAGTTAGATCAATTTGGTTCACGCGATCTACTTAGGTGTAATTATCCTGATCCCATACGCCAGAGATAGAGGAAAATTTATACGGAGTGATGTAGTTCTTCCTAGGTGATTCTTTGGTTTCCATTGCTCTGTGAGATGAGGACATCTCTCGAAAAGATTTTCAGTCTCCTATATTTCTTCAGCTTATTATTTGATTTCTTCAGTATGTTACTGAGTATTTATTCTTTTGTAGTTACTTGAATATAATTTTTCGCAGTTATCGTGTGATTATTCACTGACAGTCGGTATAGGTAAGTCTCTTTTACGCAGTCAAGTTTCTCTACAAGTTTCTTGTATGAACTCACTTTGGTCCAGAAAATTGATCGCGTAAATGAACCTTTATACCGGTTGCTATTGGATGGTATGGGTTTTCAATAACTGCGACAAATTATGCCTAAGTAAATGAAAAAAATACTGAATGTTGAAGAACTCTAGGCTGAAAATCTTATGAAAACAAAAGAATCATAAAGGACAACTAAATCACTGAGTATGTTTTTTTCCTCTATGCATGTATAGAGGAAATTGAGTTCGTGTTTTCTTAAACGTTTTATCTGGATTGAGAAGTATTTTTTATGATATTTTCGAACAATTTCCACTTTCCATTCCACAGATTTTATACTAAAAAATATTCTTATTTGTCAGTGAAAGCCAAACCTGTTGAAGACCGAGTAAATCAGAACAGGTAAGGGAGGACTTTGCTGTCAAAGCGGCAGCACCCAGATCCTGGTAGCTCCACTGTAGCCACTTAACTGCATTCCTCCAAGTCACGTTACAGTCTTTAAAATAATATAGCCGATATGAGTTTCACTTCTCCTTAGAAATATCGTTTACTGTTATATATAATATAATATAAGTAGATATAATATTATATTTGTGATTTGTAACATATAATAAATATGCCTTCAGATCACATTGCAACGTTCCATTGGTATATTCACAATTGAGAGTTATTTTCAATAAAATTATATTTTGAAATTATGTCTTTAAATTAACATTGTATGCAATGGAATTAATTTTTTTCAAATTGTATTAATTTATAATATCATTTTTAATTAATTGATTGAATTTTTTTTGTTCCCAGGTGTCAGAATCGGTTCAGAAATATCGGTGAGTCACTACTTATATTTATAATATTAATATTTCTTTTAGGTTATGATTTGGAGGCGATGTCAGAAGACATGCGGGGTCCTTCATCGTTCATCATCTAGACAATGGCTTGTCTTATGCTAATTAGTTAATAGGATCTCCAATTCGTCAATTATTCTCAATGAGATGTCGAGGTCCTCTTAGTCTACTGTCCGAAATATACCCACAAACTACAGCCAGAATAAAGGATGTCTTGATTCTTATTGGCCAAACTTCTAAAGATAACAGTGGTTCACAGTCAATATAATACACCTGGATATTTATAGAAATTATTGAATAAATAAATAGTTCAATTTATATTAAATTAAAAACAATAACTTAATAACTAGCCCCTGATAATTTGGCCCCTGTGAAAAATTCGCAGAAAATTTACTTTACTAAAGAAATAGCAAAACAATATGGAAATAAGTATTATGTAAGGACGGAATAGGAACTATGTATTATGTAAGAAAGGAATTAATATTTTTTTCTTGGTCGATTGTTAACATAAACGTAATACAAATAATAGAAGATATTTTTAAACGCTGACTGTAATATAGACAAAATAATACCCGCATCATGGGATATTGTAAATTATTAAAAAATAAAATAAAACGTAAGAGCAACCAAATGTCTTTAAGAAATAATAAAATTAATATATCAGCCAAGAAAAGAAAGTAGTAGACTATTCTATTCCTAAATGCAATATCTTTAAATCCTAAGACATTATTAAGTATACCAAAACTTTGTTAATAATTGTCCGATTTTTAGGATATTTTTTTTTTTGTTTTGTAGGTAATTTAGTAATCTTTCTAATTATACCAGAAATTTCGGTGTGATAGGACTATTTTTCGCATGTGAAGGAGAAGAATATCTTCAAAACGAATTTACAAATTTTTGAATTGACGAAGTTATAAAAAACATTCTAGTAAAGTGTTATTTTTTTATGTTCTTTTTCTTGTTCTTACGTTAGGTTATGTTTTATTTTCTTTTTGTTGGTGTGGGGTATGGCGGCTTCTGGTGTAGGAAATCTTCACTTCATAGTGGAAATATTTACATGGCATAAACAATAAACATGATTCCATCGACATTTTAAGAAGAAACTTGAAAAAAATTGTTGAAAATATGGGCCAAATAAGAATTTCTGTTTTTAAAAAGATAATGACCTCGATCACTCTGCCATGTTAGTTAAGGTATGGCTACTTTATAACTGTCCCAAAATTATAAAAAAAATTCACCACTGTCACCAGACAGTAGTAATGTGATGGAACATCGTGGAAAATTATAAAACACGAAATTTCTAGCAAAGAAGACTTTGCTAGAAAAATATCTCCACGAAAAATGGAACAGGCTAAGCCCGGAGTAACTAAACAACTGGTCGAAACCATTAGAAACAGACCGAAAGAAGTGGTAGAAAATAATGACTTGGCTACAATGTATTGAAAAAATTAATAGCATTTAAAAATTAATTAGAAATGAGGTTTATCATTTTGACTGTGAAGTAAAATTATCAAGTTTTTTAAAAATAATTGCAGTTGAATATTTTAGGCAATTATATTGAGTTTGTAAATATGTAAAGAGTTTCTGGTTTTATTTGTTGACTGAAACCATTTAATTATTTTTTCTATTTTCCTACAGGGTGTATCAATTTTATTGTAAGCCACTGCATATGCTTTCGTTTTGGAGATATTCACGTTGTTTTTTTCTTTCTTTCATCTTTCTTAGACGTTAAATGCTAGATGTGGGGTGAGGTAGGAACCAAAAATACAGTAGTAACGTTTCCTGCAAGTTCCCTTCTCACAAAACCCGATATAAGATCGGCAAAGAACATTGGGACACATATTTGACAATTACCTTTTTGCACTCTCCTTTTCAACATGACATTGCATAAACGTGTCTTAAAATGCAAAACAGGAGAGGAAATATTCTAAATCTCATTAATGCATCAATAAAAACTTCCTTAGCTTCAAAAAGAAAGAAAGAAAAAAAAAATAAATAAAAGAGAGAGAACGTGCCACTACAATCCATCGAGGGTCTGCTAAAGTTCAGTACTTTGTAAGGAAGAATGATTTCGTGGCCATTGATTGTGTAAGTAGGTGATTTGACCGAGATCACGCTCAACCGACAAAATAAATATTTAATTTAAAACACCAACTTCTTGGGTCTGGGAGTGCAACAGGAGAGTGTCCCGATCTTAGGATTGATCCACGTCATATCCGAAATCGAACCTGAGACCTTAAGCATATGAGCTCTCTATTTGATATTTTACTGTTCGTTCACGTACTCTTACAAGAATGGACTAGATACTTCTTTTTTTTATTTAATTATACTTTTTTTATTTTATTTTAATATCATTCCTTGATTTGATAACGCTGCTTAAATTTTTCTTCTTTTCACTTCGGAGAACGTGAAACGATAACTTGGACCTTTCAATAAGTCTCTCTCTCTCTCTCCGCTTCTCCTCCTCCCTTCCAGCGAATCTGTTTATATATTCAAATAAAACCTCCTCCTCGTTTATTTTGAGCAATCATTTCAATAAAGGAAGCCGACGAGCTAATGGTTAGGTAATAAGGAGTGGTTTATACCCGGCCGTTCCGTTCGGCTCTAATCACTCCACGTCAGCTCCTGATAACCATCTCCACAAATCCATTAAACAAATGAACGCAAACAAGATCTCGTCCAGCGGTGGATGGTGGAGCAGGCATTCCAACATCTCGCCCCGGGCTTCCTCCTCTCCAAATCACTCATGAAGAGTTTCATCCCAAATAAAATTGAACAAGCATCCTGATAAATTGACATGAATATTTAACAGATTTCCATCTGGGGCCGATTTGTCATTACCAACTAAAAAGGTTAACTGGCAGTTAGTAAATTGGTGAATATATTCCTTTATTTTTCCTCTTCTGGTTTTACAAGTAAATTTAACTCATTTTTGTGTCAATTCATTTATAAAAATATTAAAAATTATTCTATAAGTTTTATATTCTTCTAGTACTATTGAAATTTAGTTCATTTGCTCGAAGGAAATAACGTAAGTTGATATATGTGAAATAGAAATACATTGAAAGTCTGTGTCTCATATTAAAAAAATAAAAAAAATATGACAACTTTCAAAACTTAAGAAAAAAAAAAATCAGTTAATAAAAAAAATACGTTGCAAATTATTACACAATGGTTTATTTTTTGATTTATAATTATACATAAAAAATTACATTACTTTCCTAGTAACATAAAAGAAACTAAATAAAAGTCGATTCCTAATATTGGTTTAATTTTTTTTTTAGTATCATTAGTAATTTGCTTAGAAAAATAGACATCATTGCTTAAGTTGATGTGACACTTTTAGAAAATCAAAAACCAAAACAAGCGATATAAAATTCGCATTAGAACACTGTATCTTTACTCCAAATTTTGTGATTCCAAAGGTTTTTTTTAAACAAACCTTTTACTCTTTTAAATAACCATTATTAAAAAAAAAATATGCTTTTTGAGTTATCCGGAAATCTAATTTTACCACCCCTCCTGATTTAGGTAGAAAGTAATAAGTTAAAACATGTGTAAAAATAGAATAAGTCGTATCATCGCTAAAACTGGTTCGATTCCGATGATTTTTCTTTATTTTGTTGGTAATTTAATTAGCTTTTAAAAGTTTTCTTACAAAATTTTACCGTATAATATATACTTATGGAGTTAGGCCCCATAACATTTTTCTTTTCTTTATCACTTTTTTTTCTGAATTTTTTCGGGAATTTAGTCTATATACGAAAATTGAAAGAACATCGATTTGAAGATTATAGGAAAGTTTCATCAAAATCGTTAGAGCTGTTTTTGCGCTATTGTCTACAGAAAAACATGTTTTTCATTTATTGCGCGCAAGCTATTGCGCATGGAGCACCGAATTTCTGTCACAGGCATCAGTAGTCAAAACCCAACAAAATAAAAAAAGAAGCAACAAAATCGGTTCAGCAGTTCCCAAGAAAATCTTGGCACAGACAGGCAGACAGACAGACCAATGGCTAAAAATGTGTTTTTCGGACTCAAGGGGCTCTGAAACGGATAGATCCGTCAAAAGCTGCATGTCGAAAATTTGACCCGATTGCAATACTTTCCTTACTTAGTATAAGTAGGAAAGTAAAAAAGTCAGTTAATAAAAAAAATACGCTGCAAATTATTACACAATGGTTTATTGTTTGATTTATAATTATACATCAAAAATAGCATTACTTTCTTTGTAACATAAAAGAAAATAAATAAAAGTCGATTCCTAATATTGGTCTAATTTTTTTTTTAATATCATTAGTAATTTGCCTAGAAAAATAGACATCATTGCTCAAGTTGATGTGACACTTTCATAAAATCAGAAACCAAAAAAAGCGATATAAAATTCGCATTAGAACACTGTATCTTTACTCCAAATTTTGTGATTCCAAAGGTTTTTTTCAAACAAACCTTTTACTCTTTTAAATAACCATTATTAAAAAAAAATTATGCTTTTTGAGTTATTCGGAAATCTAATTTTACCACCCCTCGTGATTTTTCCAGCTTCTTTACGTTGAAGTACGTTATTTAAATAAACTTAAAGGGTTTAAAGGGTTCGGTCGTCATGTTGAAAGGGAAGCACTTTTCGGTGAAGTACGTTCTATACATATATTAGATCATGAAATAATATACACTTTTGGAAACAAACAGAATGATAATGTCGGTTTTGCGATAATTATAAATGGGATACCTAATAAGTATAAATTACCCCCAACCTCAACGATATATACTGCAGGCTATTTCTGCAGCATCACTTTCATCATTAATATAGAAAGCACGAAAATAGTAATATGTTCTGATTCTATTTCCGCCCTTCAGAGTATAACAAACTTGAATAAAACCTGCAATAAACAGAATCCACCAATACATCGAAATTATAAACAACCTTAATAAAATTATAATATTTTTCTGTATTCGAGGACACTCCGGGATACCAGGAAATGAGGATAAAGCTGCTAAAGAAGCTGCTCATATGAATATCCCACCTCTCCGAATATACGAGCCGAGTGATGTTAAAACATTGCTAAAAGGCAGAGTACAAACAAATTGGGAGTCCATGTGGAATTAAATTCCACTGACTAATAAACTTAGAAATATTACAAAAAAGTATAAAACAGTGGGTAAGTGCTGGAAGAGGAAACATACGAGAAGAAGTGGTAGTAACAAGGATGAGAATTGGTCATACTAACCTGACTCTTGTCCATTTAATAACAAAAGAGGCCCAACCATATTGCGATACTTGCCAGTCCCTGCTAACCATAAAGTATATATTAAAAGATTTTACATTACTACATTAAGCCTTTATAAAAACAATATACCCCGTTGTAGAGAAATAGCGTTAAAAGACTCAGTAAATTTAATAGAAAATATTATAAAAACTTTTAAAACAAACACAATTGTACAATTTTTTTTTAGATTCTCTGATTCAAAATTATTCCAATTTTCAAAAGAATCGGTCCAGTAGTCTTGGAGAAAAGACGTGAAAATTTTTATTTGTTCGATTTTCGAGTTCTACGTATCCTGAAACGTAAAACCACAATTTTTGAGGGGGGGAGGGGTTAAATTTTTCAATTTTTGGTCGATTGCAATAGTTCATTATTGAAAATAATAAACCAAAATGGCCAGAGAAAACACTGAGCCAGAGAAAACAACATTTACTTGATTTAATTATAGGATAAAATTCCATATTAATATGAATTACCAGCTTTAACTTTATTATAAAAATTAATTACCACAATATGAATTGTAAACGCTAAAGAATATTAAGTCGTCACTTTCCCCCATCAAAATTAGATCCTTTTATCTTCATCGATATCTTTAGTGGAATAATAGTGAGCCTATATAAGATCCACAAGGTTAGAGTTTTTTAAACAAGTATCGGTTTTCTAAACCAGGGCGCTAGACATTTTTTTCATGTAGTTGTTCATTTGTTCTCACGAGGCTTAAGTTTGCCCCCATGAAGAAAATTACATTAGATATTCACTACCATAACTAAAACTTTTAAGCCCGCACTACTGTCGATATTGTGCATTATAACTTGGGAACTAAAAAAACATGTTTAACATTTTTTTCCGCAGAATATTTAAGGGTTCTTCATATTACTTTCACTTACGTATATATTTAATATATAGTAAGTGTAAGTATTGCGATCGAGAAAATTTTTGAATCTGAGTTTTCAACGGATTTACACGTTTTGAGGTACCCTGGTCGAAATGACCAAGTCCCGAAAAATGGTCTGTGTGCCTGTGTGTTTGTATGTTAGCAGTATAGCCCAAAAACGAAAAGTCCTATGAAACTGATATCATGTATTTAAGATAGGTATTTGCCTTAGATGTGAGAGCAACTATTTCCTTAAAATCGGCTAACCCAAAGTGCCACTTTATATCAACGCTGAAACACATTTTCACAATTTTCTCAAAAATGGCTCTAACGATTCTGATTAAACTCGGTGTATCATTGTATAATTAAGTGGTCTTTAATATCAATTAGGTCTTATCCCCATTGATGTCACTTTACTGGGCTTAAATGCCCAATGTTCATATATGTCTTCCTTTAAACTACCTTTAATTTGGTTTATTTAAAAAGTTAATCATTTAACATTATTCAGAGTTACGAAAAAATGCTAAATATAACTTATGAAAGAATTTGATAAGTTAATAAAGGAGAAAAAAAAAAAAAAAAAAAATGCGTTGTTATAGACTGTAGCGCCGAAACGAATGTACCGATTTCAATGAAACTTCGCTAAAGTCATTTTCTCGATACCCTTTAAATTTATCTATATAACACACTTCAGCGAAAAGAAGCTGGAAAAAAAGTTACGAGGGATGTTAAAATTAAATTCCGAATAACTCAAAAGTATACGCTTTTTTTGGAGATATTGTTTATGGTTTTATAAAAGTTTATGGTTTTATAAAAGTTTACGAAATTTCCTAAATAACCAAAAAAAAAAAAAAAAAAACCGTTAAAAGCGGACAGTTAGGAGGAAAGATGTGGTCTTAAGTTTTTTTCCCTGAAAAGACGAAAATTTGGATAAATTTAAAATATATTTTTTTTAATTTTTGAGACTAAAAAACCTTTTTTCTACAGATGTTTAATAAATTGTCTTTCCTAAGAACATCTTTCATAAGAAATAAGTACCTAAATTTATACCTTTATTCTCAGTTCTATATTTCAACACTGCAATCACCACCTCTGGAATCAACTTACTCATTGTCTGCATAGATAACTTTTTCAACTAAAAAAATCACTAATATGACAACACTCAAAAATGTTGAAATTGGAGTTAGTCATTCTGTGGCTTATAAAAGCAATGAAAGTTGTGTGGTTTATAAAAGCAGATGGAGTGACTAGATTTTTATTGCCTGTCGTCGAAATATTAAAGAGACATTTTGTAATTATAAAGGTCTTAATGACATGTTATCTGTAAGCTTCAAGCTTTAGCTCCGTTTAAAATGCACTTCGACAAATTTTATAATAGCCCAGCATTGCCAGAAAATAATTTCTATTCAAAGTAGATCGGTAAGTGAATGTTGTTTGTTGCGCGCACCAGATTTTTACATATATAATCATAATTTTAGTCTTACTTAAATATTGTATGTTTATGACCAACGGTATACAGGATTTTCCATTCCTTTTATTTAAAGAACAATTTAATTTGAATAATTCAGTTGTTTGTGTTGGAAATAAGCTGTCAAAATACAAACACCCTCAGCTAGCTTCGT